TCTTTCTATTTATATATGATTTTTGGAATCAGCTTGTAAATTTGTATCAAAAAATTCTGCTAGAATTTTGACTTGGTTTTATTCAGGAAAATGGACATCTTAATAATATTAAGTCTTCCAATCTATAAACATAGGTTATTGCTCCATTTATTAGATCTTTCATTTCTCTCAGCAATATTTTATAGTTTTTAGTGCAGAAGTCTTACATATTCACTTTATTTCAAAGTTTTTAATTTTTTGGATGCAATTTTAAATGGCATCATTTTAAAAATATAATTTCCTAATGTTTCGTTGCTGATGCATAGCAATTGATTTTTGTAAATCGACTTGGTGTTCTACGACCTTGCTAAATTCACCTGTTCTAGTACAGTTGACCCTTGAACAACATGGACTTGAACTGCATGGGTCCACTTGTACATGGATTTTTAAAAATAAATACAGTCAGCCCTTCGTATCTGAGGGTTACATATCCGCAATCAAACGCAGATTATAGTATTCAAGGCATAACAAACCCTATTCAAGGGATACGAAACCCATGTGAGGAGGGCTGACTTTTCATATTTACCGATTCAGTAGGGTTGACTGTGGAACTTGAAGTATGCATGGATTTTGGTATACATGGGGTGTCCTCGACCCAGTCCCCTGTGCATACCAAGGGCCCACTGTGTGGTTTTTGTTGTTGAGATTCTTTAGGGTTTTCTCCTTACACATCGTATCCTCTATGGATGAAGACAGTTTTATTCTTCCCATTGTATGTCTTTATTTCTTTTTCTTGATCTATTATACTGTCTAAGACCCTCACATGTTGAATAGTAATGATGAGAGCAGACTTCTTTCCTTGTTCCTAATCTTATAGAAAAAGCATTCAGTCATTCAACATCAAGTATAATGTTAGTTGCACTTTTTTTGGTAGATCCCCTTTATCAGGTTGAAGGAGTACTTTTCTGCATCTAGTGTTTTGAGACTTTTTTTAAAATTATGAATGGGTTTTGAATATTGTCAGATGCTTTTCCTTCATCTATAGAGATGATTATATGATTTTTCTCATGTTATATGGTAGAATACATTAATTAATTTTTGGAATATTAAGCTCCAACCTATGATAAACCACACCTAGCCTTGATATATTATCATCATATATTGCTAAATCCAATTTGCTAATCTGTTGGTAAGGAATTTTGTTTCATTTGTTTCTATGTCACTAAATATTTCTCTAAAATCTTGTATCATCATTAGGGCTTTGATCTCAGGATTATGCTGGTCTCATAAAACTGTTGGAAAGTATCCTTGATTTTCTGAAAGAATCTGTATAAGATTGATTAGTATTATTTCTTCTGTAAATGTTTACTAGAGTTAATTGACAAAGCCATCAGAACCTGAGGTGTTCTTTGTCAGAAGGTTATTAATTGTAATTCGTGTTTTTTGATAAAAATACGGTTATTCAGATTCTCTTTTTGAGTTAGTTTTGGTAAGTTGTATATTTCAAGAAACTTTTCCTTCTAAGTTAAGTTTGTTAGCATAAAATTATCCATAATATTATTTTATTTTTTCTGATATTATTACCTTTTTATTTTCTAGAGGATCTGTAGTGATACTCTTTCATTCCTGATATTGGTCATTGTATTTTCTCTTTTTTCCCCCAACTAGTCTTGCTCACGGTTTATGAAGTTCATTAATCTTTTCAGACAGTCAGCTTTTGACTTTGTTGATTTGTTTTCTTCAGTTCTTAGCCTAGTTTCTATTCTGTTGGTTTTTGCTCTTCATTATGTCCTTTTACTTTGGGTTGAATCTGCTCTTTTTTCCCTACCTGCTTAAAGGTGGAAGCTTAGATCATGGATTTAAGCCTTTCTTCTATTATAGCATTTAATGGTATACATTTTCATCTAAGCACTGCTTTTGCTGCTTCCTGCAACTTGTAATGTTTCAACAGTCATTCATTTTCAAATGTTTCTAATTTTCCTTGTGATTTCTTACTTTACTGATCATTGTTTAGAATCTAGTTACATAATTCAGAATATTTGAGGATTTTCTAGACATCTTGTTATTGATTTCTAGGTCAATAGCATTGTGGTCACAAAACATATGATTTCACTCTTAAAATTTATTGAGGCTTGTTTTATGGCCTAGCATGTAATTTGCCTTGGTGGATGTTTCATGTGCATTTGATAAGAACTGTATGTTGAGCTGGGCGTGGTGGCTCACGCCTAGTCATACTAGCTTTCCTATTATTAGTGTTTTCTTGATATATGTTTCTTTAACCTTTTACTTTAAACCTATCCATACCTTTTTTTTTTTTTTTTTTTTTTTTGAGACAGAGTCTCACTCTTTTGCCTGGGCTAGAGTGAGTGCCGTGGCGTCAGCCTAGCTCACAGCAACCTCAAACTCCTGGGCTCAAGCAATCCTTCTGCCTCAGCCTCCCGAGTAGCTGGGACTACAGGCATGCGCCACCATGCCCGGCTAGTTTTTTCTATATATTTTTAGTTGTCCGATTAATTTCTTTCTATTTTTAGTAGAGACGAGGTCTCGCTCTTGCTCAGGCTGGTTTTGAACTCCTGAGCTCAAACAATCCCGCCTGCCTTGGCCTCCCAGAGTGCTAGGATTACAGGCGTGAGCCACTGCGCCCCCGGCCCATGCCTTTTTTATATTTAAAGCATGACTACTGTATGCGACATGTGGTTCATGTCTTTTAATCTTGTCCGATAGTCTCTTTTACAGTGAGTATTTAGCCCATTTAATTATTCACAGGTTTGGGTTTAAGACTCTTGTCTTTTCTATGTTCTTTGATACCTGTTGCCTCTTTCCTGCCTTGGGAGGGAGGGTATAATTAAGTACTTTTTGGTATTTTATTGCATCTTTTCTTTTGACTTTTTATTTATTCCTCTGTGTATAATTTTTAGTGTTATTTTATAATATGTATCTTTAACATCAGTTTACCTTCAAATAATATTGTGTCACTTGATAAACAATGTAGTAGCCCAGTAATTCTATCTCACCCCTTCCTCCTCTTGTGCACTTGTTGTCATATATTACTTCTGTGTGTTATAAACCTCCCAACAGCTTATTGGCTGTTTAAATACAAAATAGATTTTTATAGAAATTTTAAAACACATAGAAAATAAAGATAATAGGAAGATATTTTGTATTTATCCTTATATTTGGTCATTCTGATGTTCTTCATTCCTTTTTCCAATTCCTGGCTTTTATCTGGTATTTTGTTCTGCCTCAAAAACTTCCTTTAAGTTTTTATTTTGTGGTGAATGACTTCTGCTAATTTATCTGAAAATATTTTAGAGGCCGGGTGCAGTGGCCCATGCCTGTAATCCTAGCAGTGTGGGAGGCCAAGGCGGGAGGATCACTTGAAGTCAGGAATTTGAGACCAGCCTGAGCAAGAGGGAGACCCCGTCTCTACTGTCTCTACTAAAAATAGAAGACATTAGTGGGGCATGGTGGTGCACACTTGTAGTCCCAGCTACTCGGGAGGCTGAGGCAGGAGCATGGCTTGAGCCTAGGAGTTTGAGGTTGCTGTGAGCTAGGCTGACGCCACAGCACTCTAGTCCAGGCAACAGAGCTAGACTCTATCTCAAAAAAGCAAAGATTTTTGATAGATGTAGAATTCCAAATTGACTTTTTTTTTCTTTCAGCCAAAGTAAAGGATGTTACAGTGTTGTTTTCTGGATTATATTGTTTTTGAAGAGAAGTCAGTGGTTATTCTTAGCAGTGTTCCCCTGTATATGTTTCTCCCTCATCCCCCAGCTGTTTTTAATTTTCTAGAATTCAGAGAATTCTGGTTCTGTTGGGTCCTCAGATAGCTCTCTGATGAGTTTTTAACAGCAATGGTTTTGTGACTTACCTGCCTTGTTCTTGCCTTTTCTTTGAGAGAGAGAGAGAGAGAGAGAGAGACTGACTCTCGTCCTGGGTAGAGTGCAGTGGTGTGATGATAGCTCACTGCAACTTCAAACTCCTGGGCTCAAGTGATCCTCCTACCTCAGCCTCCCCAAGTAGCTGGGACTATAGGCACGTGCCACCGTGCCTGGCTAATTTTTTCTATTTTTAGTAGAGGTGGGGTCTTGCTCTTGCTCAGGCTGGTTTCAAACTCCTGACCTCAAGTGATCCTCCCGCCTCAGCCTACCAGAGTGTGCTAGGATTACAGGTGTGAGCCACCACACCTGACCTCTTCTTGCTTTTAAGAATGGGAATGTTGTGAATTTCTGTATTGTAACTAGAAGCAAAAGTCCAGTGATGCTATTATAAATAAATTCAATATTTATAGAGATTTTAAGGGTTATACTATTTATTAAAAACTGAGCTTTCAGAAAGCTTTCTCAATACGTGTTAAAATAATTTATTATTAAACATATTTTCTAAAGGGGGGGCATAAATAATTGGCTTTTTAATTTCTGTATCTACTATAAACAAGTAAGGTTAGACCAGTGCTTCTTTACTTAGAGTGTACTTAGAGTGATCTTTACAGCTTGGAGCCACTGTTATTGAGGGAGGTGTAGCAAGTTCTCAGATGTGGCCAGCAGAAAAGAGGTCTTGGAGAAGAGCTTGGCACACTTTCTCTATGAAGGACCAGGGAGTGAATGTTCTCAGTGTCGTGGGCCTCTGTTGCATATTCATCTGTGTTTTCGTTTGCTTGTTTGTTTTTACTGCCTTTAAAAAGATAAAAACTATTTGTAGCTGTAGCTATACAAAAACAGTCTCTAGATCCAGCCACACTTTACTGTGACCCCTAGGCTAAATGATCTTATAATAATTTTTGTCTCAAAATTATGTTCATATCTTCTAACCAAAAGTGTATTTGGTATAGTAATGTGTGAAAAGGCAGAGGACCTAACTATTAAGTGTCCTTTTTAATAAAGGCCTCAGCATGTGATATATTTAAACATACTTAAAATTAAATTATGTAGGCTTTAAAGAACTGTAGGCTAGTTTTAAAAAGTATGTATGCTTTTACATATTCCATCAGATTTAGAGAAAGCCTTTTATCTTCTGTTTAGGAGTACAAACCACCAGCAACGCGTAAACTTCATAACATTCTTGGAGTAGAAACAGGAGGACCTGGTGGGCGACGTGCCGGGGAGTCGGGTCACACGGTAGCTGACTACTTGAAGTTCAAAGACCTCATTTTAAGGATGCTTGATTATGACCCCAAAACGCGAATTCAACCATATTATGCCCTGCAGCACAGTTTTTTCAAGAAAACAGCTGACGAAGGTACAAATACAAGTAACAGTGTGTCCACGAGTCCTGCGATGGAACAGTCCCAGTCTTCGGGCACCACCTCCAGCACCTCATCAAGCTCAGGTCTGTTCTCTTCGTGTGAGATTGGGCTTGGGAATATTTAATATATATATATATATTTTTTTTTTTACAAAGCAGAATTATTTTAAAAGTGTTTATTAAATTTATTAATGAGGTGGCAGGAATTATTTTAGTTAAATTTGTTCTTTGTAGTTAGTAATATAATAAATTGATCTCCCCCAAAGCGTAAGTATTTGATTATGTACATAATAAATTCTGCTTGATAGTTGGAAACGAAAGTGTTTATTAACCAACATTTGAAATTGTTTTTTAAATGGAGTTTTTGGTCACGTGCTTGAGTTTTTCCCTACCTTAACCCAACTTGCGATTGTATCTTAGTTCAGTGGTTCATGTGAGAGAACCTAGCTGTAGTCAGAGAATCCAAAGACTGATAGACCTTCAAGTTAATACTATAGATTTTTTTTTTCTTGGTGGCATACTTTGAGTTTTAATGGTATAGTTTTAAAATATAAACTTGAGCAGAATTAGCTTTGAACCCAAAGTTGTACTGTATATGATATTTAAGGTGGCTCATCGGGGACAAGCAACAGCGGGAGAGCCAGGTCGGACCCGACGCACCAGCATCGGCACAGTGGCGGGCACTTCACGGCTGCTGTCCAGGCCATGGACTGTGAGACACACAGTCCCCAGGTAAGCTCGCACGCAGCCGTTTGCGTGTGTCACCTGCGGTGCTCAGGTTTAGCAATATTGGGTGCCAGGTGCCTTTAGGCTGATTATGTCATTTACTCTAAAGGTTCATAAAGTCTTCATGTCTAACTAGAGAAGCACATTTTTACAATTTTTCCCCTCATTTAGAAATGGCTAACATGTATTGGTGCATACTAGTTGTCATTTTGAACATTTTTTCCCCGCGTTTATCTCATTGACCAGAGCGACATGGTGAGCTTCATGCTGTTTTGATCCCATTTACAGTGGGAGCTGGGTCTTAATGGGTTAAACAGCTTTCCCTGGGCCGTGATCTTAATTACTACACTAGACTTTCTTCCATGATTTTTCCATAATCTCGAAGTCCTGGATTCTCGATCAGTTTCTATTTTGATTTTAGCCTCTATTTTTTTGTTGTTTGTTTGTTTGTTTTAAACTGTATTAAAGAAGAAGATCTAATAGAGTAATTTTTTAAAAATTGAGGTTAATGGGTGGTGGTGATAAAAATGTTTAAATACCCTTGTAAAATAGTAAATTGGTTCATACTGAGTACTGCATTATGGTGTTTTATGGTGACAGACCAGTGTATTTGATGGATAAAGTAAAACTGATGTTTGTTAATATCACTCCCTATCCTTGTGACTGAAGTGACTGAAGCAGCTGAATGCTGCTGGAGAAAAATCACAAATGTAGCTATGTTGTCACAGCTGTTAATTAATATTCACCAACCTCTCCTGGGCAATCTTACATGTTTCTCAAGTCTTCCCCTCTCTCTCCCATTCTCTTTAATAATTATTTTGCCTATAGTACCAGCTACTCAGGAGGCTGAGGCAGGAAGATTGCTTAAGGTCAGGAGTTTGAGACCAGTGGGCAACATAGTGATACCGTGTTTCTTAAAATTCTTAAAATAACAATAATTGTTTCAAACTTTTCTACTCTTCTTAGAAACCTTTGGCCTTCCCTCCTCTTTTCTCACCCAGTCCTTGCTTTGCAAGGAAAAGAGTCTTCAGACAGGAACTCCCTCCACTTGTATCATTAAATACATGGTCCTTCCTCCGTGTGCACTTATCCAACTTCTCTTCCACTCCTTTTTTGTTAGAAGCATTGTGTTTTTTCTTGCCTAAAGCCGAGCCCACTCAGCACCCTGATCCCCTTTCCTTTTGTTTCGTGGGGACTTTGTCCTTTGGTCCCCCTCTGGCTCCTGTGTCTTCAGTCTCACCTTCTCTCTTGGCTCTTTGTGTTGATGAGCATTTACTCATTCTCACATCTCTCCCATCTTGAGCAAAACCTTTCTCTGGCCCTCCTCCCCCAGTCTTTCTTACATTATTCTTGTGCTGCCTGTGGTCTTCACTTCTTTACTCTTTAAGAACCTTTCACCTGCTCCAATTAGGTTCCTGCCTCCTGGCTCCATTGCCAGTGGCTGGCAGCATGATTTTTATTGATGAGTCCAGTGGGCACCCTAACGCTTATCTTTCTTCATTTCTCAGTGGAATTTGACAATGTTGACTTTCCCCACTCTTTGAAACACTCAATCTCTGGTTTCCTTGGCAGAATTTGCTTTACTGTTCCCCTGCTTCTCTGGCCTTTCCTTTACTGTCTTTTTTTTTTTTTTTTTGGATTCTCTTCTTCTACCCACCATGAAACCTGGGTGTTCCTCGAGGCGTCATGTGTCCTGCCCTTCTCCCCTTGCACACTTCCGGGGTGATCTCATCCACTTCTGCCAGTGCCTGCCGTCTCCATCGTCACGTCAGTCATTCCCAGGCTTGGTTTCTGACTCAGACTTCACTCCTGAGACCCAGGGCCTTTATTTCTAATTATTTACTATAAACATCACTTTGAAAATCTCAACAATATGACATTGCAGATGAGTCACATAAACTGATTTCATCATTTTCACTTCCTTTCCAACTCTTGTATTGTTGCCATTTATAAAAATGGCCCTAAATTTATCCACTTAAGTCATAAACCTGGGGACACTCCTCTTTCCTCATTCCCCACACCGAATGAAACCATAAATTATGTGGATTCTCAGCATCCTAAGTATGTTTTTATTCTCTCTCCTTCACTTGACTCTGTTGCTGCGACCACCTCTGGCCTGTCTCACTAGAAAGTCTCCTGGCTGGTCTTCCAGGGTCCAGTTCCCTTCACTCATCAGCCCTGTTCTCATCTCTGCAGTCAAGTGAACTTTGAACTTTCACTAAAGCAGTCGATCTTATCATACTTTAAACCAGTCTGTGGCTGGCCCTTGTACCTAAAATAAAATATAGACTTCGTACCAAGGTGTCAGTGATTTCCATGCGCTGGCCCCTACCCAGGCCATTATTTTTCCTGTTCACTCATTCTGGTCATACTGACTTTTTTCATTGTTGAGAATATACCATGTTCTCTCTCTTTTCTCACATTTACTGTGCTCTCAGCTTGGAACACTTTTCCTCCCTCTTTTGCTTTGGTAACTACTATTTATGCTTCAGGTTTTAACTTAAATATTACTGTTCCCTGAGGCTTTCCCTAATTCTTTGAAGTATCCTTCCCCTCCCTTCCTTTCTTCCAAATATATTAAATACTGCAAACACATTAAAAGATACCAAGAGTAACGTAAGACACCTGTGTACCTCCTGCCTACCTGTATTTTGACAGAAGTCAACATTTTGTTTCAAATCCTTTTTTATAATTAATTGTTGAATAGTTACTATAGTCACATGGTTAAAAAAAATAGCTAAATATAAAAGGAGATTCAGTGAAAATTTTTCTTTCCTTCCATATCTCTAGCCACCCTGTTTCTAAACCAGGGTTCTTAGTTTTTTGTGTACTTTTTGAGATATTTATATTTTGAGATTTGTATAAGCAAATGCAAATAATTTTTTACCCACCCTTTGTACATGGATGATAGCATAACAGACTGTTTCACATCTTGGTTTTTCTGTATGTTTGACATATATTTTGGAACTCTTTCTGTATCGGTACATAGAGAACTTGCTTATTTATGTTGCTCAGCTGCCCAGCATTCGTTGTTTAGATGTTCTGTAAGTCATTGTCCCCCATTAATGGACATTTAGTTCATTTCCATCTTTTTTACTGTTACAAATGATGGTGTAATAAATAAATAACCCCGTACAGTAGTCTTTCCTTATCTGTGGTTTCGCTGTCCACACAGTTTCAGTTGTCCGTGGTTAACTGCAGTCAAAAAATATTAAGTGGAAAATTTTAGAAATAAACAGTTCACGCGTTTTAAATTTTATGCCGTTATGAGTAGCATAATGAAGTCTTGTATTGTCCCACCTTGTCTCACTCAGGACATGAACCATCCATTTACACTCCATCCAGCAATGTATTCATGCTCTATATGCTTAGTAGCCGTCTAGGCTATCGGATTGACAAAACAGTATATACAGAGTTTGGTACTGTCTAGTTTCAAGCATCCGCAGGGGGTCTTAGAATGTATCCCCTGCAGATTAGGGGGAACTGCTCTGCATGTACCATTCACACATAGGCAGTTTATCTGTGGTATAAATTCCTGGAAGTGAAATTGCTGTGTCAAAGAGTAATGTGATTTGTAATTTTGATAACTATTGCCAAATTTCCTTCCATGTGATTTTATAATCCAGTAACTTGAGCAGCTTCATGTTTATAAACCATTAGAATTTTCTTTTCAGAAAACTCATGCCAGTTTTCTGGATTGTTTTTGATAGTATCTCTAAAAGTTTGGTTCTCAGACCGCCTTCACTGAATAAATAATTTGTGTTAGCCACTGGTGATAGAAACAGTCTTTGCCTTCCTAGAACTTACAGTGACACAGGTAAATAACAAAAATTAATAAAAATCGCAAGTAGCATTAGCTGTTAAAAAGAAAATAAGAAAGGATAATGTGATGGAGAATTCTATTTGTAGGGCGGGATGTATTAATTAGAGTAGGCCAAACTCTGATGACAGATCCCCAAAATATGGTAGTTTAAAGAGTATGAGATTTTTTGTGCAACAATCCAGAGTGGGTGTTTAGGTTAGTAGCTTGGCTATCTTCCGTGTCCTGGTCTCCTGTCATCTTCTGGCAGTAGGCAGAAAGACTAGGAAGGTGTTTGTTGTGCCCTGCTAGCAGTGATGGACAAACTTTGATTCGCATTCTGTTAACAACTTAGTCACACAGCCATACCTAAGTTCAAGGGAAGCTGAGAAGTGTATTTTAGCCATGTGCTCAGGAATGAGAAGAGTATTTTTTTGTGCGTGCACAACCAGTAGACTCTGCCACAGGGAGCAGTATTAGCCACAGTGGTCAGAGAAGACTCTGGAACTGAAGTGATGAGAAAGAAGCTTCCAAGCACAGATCAGAAATTAGAGCGTTCTAGGCAGAAGGGAACAGTGAGTACAAATGCCCCATGGCATGTGAAAGATTTTGGCCAGATTGAGGAAAGGAAGGCCGACAGTGTGGTGGAACCCAGGTAGTAGGAGGAAGGACAGCTTAGAGAAGGAGGTTGGAGAAATAGGCGTTGGCAGATTATGCAGACCATTTTATGAAATTGGGATTGTCTTGTTTTTCTAAGTGCACTGAGAAATCATTAAAGGATTTTAAATAGGAAGGTGATTAGATTTGTGTTCGGAAGGGTTGCCTCCTGCTCCTCAGTTGGAGAAGGGCAAGGATGGAAGCAAGGAATTTGTTTAGGAGGCTGTTGTGTTAGTCTAGGCCAGAGATAGTAGTGGCCTGGAGTAAGTAATGGTGGTGGAAGGGAGAGGAGAGGTCAGGGTTGTGATCTGTTTTGAAGGTAGACTCTGTAGCGCTTGCTGATGGGTTGGATGGAGGAATTGTTGAGCAGCTGGACGATTAGTAATCCTAGTCCTTTTATGGAAAGAAGAAAGATAGAGAGAGGAGGGACTTGAGGGGGAAAGTAAAGAGTTCCTTTTGGACCTGCCAAAAATCCTTACAGAACCTTTACAGAAAAAGTTCGCTGACCCCTGACATATATAGTGCTCACAAGGAAAGACAGTGGCTAATGAAATATACGAGCCTATATATGGGTATGACTTCTTAAAAATTGCAGCTTTCATGATAAAATACTTTTTACCTTTGAATATATTTGGAATTTTGTGTTATAAAACTGTCTAATACATTAAAAGTTTTACAAAACTCTCTCTCCATGATTAATATAAATGCTAGTTTCATAGCTTTTGATTGAAGATTAAAACTTGGAAACAGCACTCCGAATAATCGTTTTAAAATCTGTTCTTACAGGTGCGTCAGCAGTTTCCTGCTCCTCTTGGTTGGTCAGGCACTGAAGCTCCTACACAAGTCACTGTTGAAACTCATCCTGTTCAAGAAACAACCTTTCATGTAGCCCCTCAGCAGAATGCATTGCATCATCACCATGGAAACAGTTCCCATCACCATCACCACCACCACCACCACCACCACCACCATGGACAACAAGCCTTGGGTAACCGGACCAGGCCAAGGGTCTACAATTCTCCAACGAATAGCTCCTCTACCCAGGATTCTATGGAGGTTGGCCACAGTCACCACTCCATGACATCCCTGTCTTCCTCAACAACTTCTTCCTCGACATCTTCCTCCTCTACTGGTAATCAAGGCAATCAGGCCTACCAGAATCGCCCAGTGGCTGCTAATACCTTGGACTTTGGACAGAATGGAGCTATGGACGTTAATTTGACCGTCTACTCCAATCCACGCCAAGAGACTGGCATAGCTGGACATCCAACATACCAATTTTCTGCTAATACAGGTCCTGCACATTACATGACTGAAGGACATCTGACAATGAGGCAAGGGGCTGACAGAGAAGAGTCCCCCATGACAGGAGTTTGTGTGCAACAGAGTCCTGTAGCTAGCTCGTGACTACATTGAAACTTGAGTTTGTTTCTTGTGTGTTTTTATAGAAGTGGTGTTTTTTTCCAAAAACAAAGTGCAAAGCTGCTTGAATCAGAAGGAGATTAACACACTGAACCGCTACAAGAGGGCAAAGCTGACTTTTTTTTTTTTTTAACTTGAAAAGATTGCAAAGGGACAATGAAGTGTTTAAAAGAGCCATGTCCAAACCCATCTTCACGGATAGCTCAGAGGTATCCTCTTTTTGCCTCCCCCATTTTAACTTGCCACATCCCAGTCATAGTGGGGTTTTTTTGTCTTTCTATTCAACAAAAGTTAATGTTCAGATGTTGGTCTTGGTCATTTGCCAACTAATTTTAAAATAAAAGGCACTGCACATAATTTGCATAAAGGGCCCCATGAGGGTGTTTTTTTTCTTTCTTTCTTTTTGTCCCCCTGCCCTCCCCCTTTTTTTTGGTTTGGTTTGGTTTTGGGTGGGGGGTGGGAAATTTGGGTTTTTTAGTCCTCTAAACACACCTGGGCACGGAAATGCAGTACTGTAAGGAAGAGGGACCTCCAGCTTACACAAACATCATCTTCAGCTGTATGAAAGGGACGGTTGTATTGAAGTTTGTAAGGCACATTAAGCATGTTAAGTGGCGGGGATCAGAACTCTCCTATCTGAACCTACTGAGGAGCAAAGCAGCAATCACATGGGATCCTGTGGGTCTCCTGTTGTAGAGGCCACAGTAAGATAGGAATGGAACGTGACTGGTCTCCTAACCAAGGTGCACTGAGACGCAATCAACGGGTCAGTTGTGGCCAGTCCTGGGGAGGTCTGAGTGGTGGTCTTTGGGATAACCTTTGGCCTTATGGATTTGGACTCAAAATTAGAAGAGCCTACCATTTCAGATGCAATCACTTTTGGACATGCTTTTGCAGACAGTCCTTAATGCTGAAAACACAGAGAATGGGTAATTCAAGAGGCCTTTCTTTTAAAATAGACTTTTGTGACCCACTAATTGTAAGGTATTGCAAGGTCACTTTGCGTGTGTCATAAAGTTGACTTCCTTATTGGTTGAAGGTCACAGAAGTAGTGGTTTGCTTTGATGGAAATAGCTACAGCTGTGTCCCTTCCTGCTTTTTACTTTTTCTTTTGCTTTTTCTCGGCACGTGGTATCTCCACCATTCTTCTGCACAAAGATGTCTTCTGTTCATCCTGAACATTTTTAAAAAATGCAGAATTTTATGTGACTGCTTTTTTGCCTCACAATTATGCTGTGAATTTTACAAAAATTTATTTTCTTTTTTGATAATTTATTGTACCAAAGCTGTTTTTATAGCACATAGATGTCTGTAACCAATAATGTAGCAGTTCTGCACTTTGACACAAGGTGTAACTAGACCATTTTTAAATGTCAGTTGAAAATTATGGCTGTACTATTGCTTAAACAAAACTGGAACTGTTGTTGAATCCATAGCCTATACATTTACAGCAATCTGTGTACTGAACATAATAGATTGACATCTAATTCAAGATTACAACATCTGTTACATTCTAAACGTGTTCAGGCTTCTGAAGGTAAAGGGACACTGGATCCAGAAGCTATGGAACCAGCAGTTGATTCTTGTATTCCTGATTAACCTACTTGTAAACTTGAAAGCAAGACCTCGATTGCACCAACAGGTCCAAAATGTGAGCGCGAGGAGAGCAGAACTCTCATGCATGACCCGAGTGAGCAGGCTGGTATTATAACAGGTGCCTCGTTTTGAGATTACGCTGCCTTAATGTAACACAGTCTGGCAGTTGCTAAATTTGTGTTCCCATTTTAAATTGACCAATTTTAGGGTGTTAGACTTTTGAGCGGTTGAATTGGGAGAATGAAGATAAGTAATTTACCTGTCCAGGATCAAAAGAAGCCTAGAAAAGAAGCAGTAATCTACCTCTGCCGATAACCCTGTTCAAACAACGCAGCAGAACACCACATTACTTTTTATTGGTCAATTCCATGTGGCTGACTAGGTCAATTTTTTCTGAACAAAAGCAGGTTTTTATATGTAAACAGTGACAAAAGAAAGGCTTAAAACTATGTAAATGTGAATGGAAACTTGGAAATATCCGTTTTTATAAACCACAAATTTTTTTGCTGTTAATCAGGAAATCCATATTTATTTTGTAATTAAATGTCAAGCCTGTGGATGATTTTTTTGAACTTGCTAGTTCATAAAGGTTTACAGTGAATAAAAGGATATCATCTTGAGTATAGCAATATCAAAAGGAATTCAGTAGTTACTGCTGTTTAGGAATATAAGCTTAAGATATTATATGGGTCAGGTCATTTTTTTTTCTGTGCTGGTTGCCACATCTTAGCAAGCACCAAAAAACTAAAGCAGTTTTTTAAACCAATATTTACATAAAGAAAATCATAAAATCCAATGCTTCTGCATACTGTGTTATGTTACAGTCCAGTTTTGTGTGCTTTACTACACAGTTTGGTTACAGGACTTCTGTGCATTGTAAACATAAACAGCATGGAAAAGGTTAAATACCTGTGTTCAGATTGTAAGATCTAGTCCGGACTTGCTGTGTATATTGTAACGTTAAATGAAAAAAGAACCCCCTTTGTATTATAGTCATGCGGTCTTATGTATGATAAACAGTTGAATAATTTGTCCTCAGACTCTTTACTATGCTTTTTTAAAATTAATTTAAGAAAAATGTAAACATAGTAAAAAATCTTCTATGCAATTAACCTGGTGCAGGTCTGGCAGGTATACTGAGTTATAATAAGTCTAGTTAAATATGTGAAAAGGAGAACATTTGAGTTACATCAACATAGGCTTCAAAAATCTCTGAAAGTAAAAATTGGAGGTTTAACAGATCACTTTGATTTTTCATATGGATTCTTTATATGAATGATTATTCACACATTTTCTCTCTGACTCAAAGTGCTCATATTTTAGTTTGTAGTGTGTAGAATCGATGTGATGAGGGTATGATGATTTTCTCTAATAGGCTTTGACCTGCTGGGACGAAGGAGGGAATGTAGACACTGTTGTTCCTCCTTCCCCAAATCCTCATATGGGACATACCAAGGACTTTCTGTACAACTTCTAGACCTCCTGCCACAGCGAATCAATTTCTAACCTAGAGTCTTCTCTTTTTACCAGTTAACCTGCAGAAGTATATAGTAAGGTGGCTTTCAGAAGGTAAGGAATTTATTTAAAAAGTTAAGTGTGATACTGTACAATTCAGGTTGGCTGCGTAAAAGTTGAACTTAACCACATGTAAGAAAGGAAAACTTACTCTAGTTTTTTCTTAGGGTATGAGAATTTTACTTAGGTCAAGGGCACATTTTGTGATACCAGACTCAAAATGAGATGGATTTTTATTTAATGAAAATTAGAACTACGTGTAAAAAATCATTAGGTCTGCAGTAATTATGTAAGGCCTGAAAAATGACCATTGAGACCAGGCATGGTGGCTCATGCCTGTAATCCTACCACTCTGGGAGGCTGAGGTACTAGGATCACTTGAGGTTGAGTTCAAGATCAGCCTGAGCAAGAGCGAGACCCCGTCTCTACTAAAAACAGAAAAAATTAGCTGGGTGTGGTGGCCTGCGCCTATAGTCCCAGCTACTCAGGAGGCTGAGGCAGGGGGGTCGCTTGAGCCCAGGAGTTCGAGGTTACAGTGAGTTGTGATGATGCCGCTGCACTCTAGCCCAGGCAACAGAGTAAGACTCTGTCTCAAAAAAAAAAAAAAAAAAAAACACAGAGTTTGCCCCTGTACTCTTTCCTAGCTTTTGTGTTTTTTAGCCTTATTGTCATGTTCTTGTAATAGGGAAATACATAAACAAAATACACATAAAGACAAGATAGGACTCAATTCTAGGTCAGTTTCCCAGTTTCCTTTGGGCCTGCTTTTATTTCGTTAGCCCTGATAATGCAATTTTTCTATCCATTTTTGTTGTGGTAGACCATATGTAATAGACTAGATGGTTCATTCCAAATACATGATTTGGTCTTAGTGCCATATATGAAGAGAGTTGTTCTTTTAGGATTTAGTGGGACAGAAACATGACTTTGGTGTACTTACTGAGCCTATATTCAGATTTCTTAAAATCTACTTGTGGGACCTCTGTTGACCAGACCTTAGAAAGCCTTTCGTGTCAGGAGGAGTAGATAGAGCACAAGTTCTGATTTCCTTACCCCTGGCTCCTTACCTAGAATTGTTTCCTAGGATGAAAACACACATAGGGTAATTTTTAGTACAAAGAGCAAGAGAATAAACCCTAAAAAAGCTTATTTTATTCATTATCCCTTCTGGTGGCTGACAATGCTCTGTAAATGGATCCATGAGAACCATCCTGTAGGTGCCAATGGGGCTTTTACCATGGACTAGGAATTTTTTTACATATCCCTGTGTTTAAAGCACTAGGTATTTGTTTTGTGGAAGATTTGTTTGGTGAGGTAAGTTCATGGTTTTGTGTGTTTGTCTTTCTCTTGGGCATTATGCAGAGCCAAAGTCGCGGAGTTCAGCTGCTCTCGGAAGTGAAGAAAAAACGGGATGTTTTTGCATCGTAACTTTTTAAAAATAATATTACCTTAACACTGAGAGCATAAGGTATCTCTCTTTTTTTAATTTCTTGTGTCTTCAGAGACAAAAAGGTATTTCTCCAACTGAACACTGATTTAAACATGGTTACTAGAATCCCATGCATTTCAATATGCAGCTTTACCTGAAAACATTTCTTTCATTATTTCCCACCTTTAGAGTATGTCCCTCGATAAAAAAGAGGGGTGGGAATTAGTGTGGGTAAATTTCAGTTTCAGTTTTGCGTGAATTCCCTGCCATCCCCAGCAGAACCTGTGAACGCTTAGTCATAGCAGGGAGGGTACAGACAGGCCCTAAACTCGCTTCCTTTCGCTTTTACCAGGTAGGGTCGTCCGATCTCAGCTGGGTCCTGAGGGAGCAGAGTTCTAAGAGTATGAGTCATGTTGGCTAATAAGATGAGTTAAGTCTGAGTCAGAAAAAATGACAAAAGTTGACAGCTCTGCTGGCGTTGGAGACGATGCTGGCAGTGGGCCTGGGTGACCGAGAGTACCTGCAGCTAGAGAAATACTGAAGATTCTGCAGGTTGCAACACGTAGAAAAGGCCATGTAGGTATTATTACTTCAATTTTGTGTTTGAAAGACCAGTTTGTTTATCTTAATTAAATTTCTAAAATTGCCACCTTTGGGATTTTGGGGGTTTTTATTTTATTCTTGTAAATTTTTGTCCCCAGCAAATCTACTTGTTAATTGTTGTAATCGCCCCTGAATTCTTTAGCTTAAATTGTGGTAAAAGGGGAGATTCCGAGCAAAGGCAGCATGAAGTGGCAGGCAGGGCGGGCGCGGTCGTCCTGCACTGGGGCTGGCTTCGAAGCCAGCCAGGCAGCAGGAGAGGCCAGAGCCGGAGTGAAAGCCACCAAAAGGGAGCTGCTTACCTCAGTAGAAAGTGTGAGTTGGTCAAATGAGAGCCTGGGGCCGAATTGGTGAGTCATCTTCATTCACTGTTGCATAGAGAGACTGCATCCAGATGCATGGGGTGGGTTGAGATGGGTGTTTGTTAACTCTTGAAATGAAAGAAAATATTTCTGCTGGTGTGAAATGGTTGTGTATGTTTTTAAAGATTTAAAGCATAATACAGTGAAATAGCTTAAGGAGAAAGTCCATTTGTATGTGTGTCACAGACAGGCCTTAGTTGCTGAAGAGGTGATGGGAGGCAGAATGTGGAGGTCCCCAGGTGGGTGGAGGAGTTTACCAGGTGCCACGCCCACTCTCATTGTCCAGCCAATCACGAAGCAGATTCTAGGAAGAAGGATGGTTTTGATGAACGCTAGTGATCTTATCAAACTGTTAATTCAGTACTCGCCACTTATAACGAGTTTTCAACCCTGCTGCATGTGACACTAATCTGTAGAACTCAGATGCCCCATCACACTCCCAGGATTTTTGATTCAGAGAGTCGGGTGTCTTGTGTTTTTTTCAGAAGATTTACAGGTGATTCTGAACTTCCAGCCAGGCAAGGAGAAGCATGAGACTAATCTGACAAGTCTGCATTCAAGAACGTCGTAAATGGAGTTTTATTATTAATGTTTATATACATACAGTAATGAATAACATCTACAACTTATATTGCATTACAAAATGTTATAAACAAGCCTCCAAGAAAGGTGGAAATTGCCAGATGTAAGTATATAAAACTTACACAATTTGTTTCTTTTTGTCATCTTCCCTTATGGAAGGGGGTTGATGTGACATCTTATCGGTAGCTCTCAGATATCCCGTGAGAATGGCACGTGTTACTTCCCAGCAGTGGGGTTGGGATTCCTCCCTTCGTATCTCAGTTGCACCTGGTCTTTTGTAAGATGAGGAAGGGTTCCCCAGGGCATCAGCCACTTGCGCTGTGGAGAGGTTACAGTTGCAGCCCTGAAGTTCAGATGGGTTCAGATCTGGGCTGGTCCACGCATTGGCTGGGGACCCTGGGCAAACCACGGTACCTCCCCGAGCCTCACTGTTCTAGCTGCAGAAGGAGGTATCTATGGTATCCACTTAGGGGATGCCGTGCAGGCTTCAGTGAGATAAGGTACATACAATCTTAGCACAGTGCCTAGTGTAGAGGAGGTGCCCAATAAATGTAACTCATAGCTAACTGGATTAGAGCTCGAGTCCCAGCCTCAACAGCGTCTCCCTTTTCTATGTGAATATGACAAAGATGATGTCCCCACATTGTGTCCCCACAAATTAGGTGAATGACTAAATGGTACTATCTTCCAGTTTACTTTTATTTCTGGAATCTGTGACTAGATGTTAACGTTCCTTTGCTAGTTGCTTTTGCTACTGTGTACGGTGCCAATACATATTTCAGAACTTAGAGGTTTTTCGTGAGGGGTTTTTTTGTAGTTTGCTTTGTTTCGATAGGATGTATAATATATAAATGTTTTATAAGGATGGTTTTTCAGTTGAACTTTACTATCCAGCTTCAAGGAGACTATTCGGAGGAATAATTGTGCCAAGGGGCCGTTTTTTCACAAGCTTTGTCATTAGATCCTGGTGACCACGTGACCAGGCACCCTTCCCCACCCTCATTCCCACCCTCCACCCCAAGGCATCGCTGTTACGTATTTAGTCTTTGGAGATTTGACTTAGATCAGGGAAAAAAGAGGATGACACATAAAAATCAGTTCTTAAGTTTATAAACCAAACAGTAATATCACTGGGAAACCTTTGGGAACATAATAGGTTTTAACCCACATTTAAAAAGCAGTAAGGAACTATTTAATAGTTGCTGCTTTTTTCTTTCTTTCTTTTTTCTTTGTTGATGTTAGGTGACTGTACATCCAGCTTGGGTTCCTCAGTGTTACTTCCTTTTCATTCCTAAAGTATCCCCCCTTATATCAAATGTAAGGACAAAAATTCCTTAGGATAAAAGTTTGCTCGTTTGCATTAGAATGTACATGATTTGCATCAAAATAGCCCGTGGCTTTGGATAGATAAAGATGAAACAATGGATCTAATCATGGGGTTTAACTGTTCACCTGAGGTAGGTAAAATACTTCTTGGAGATAGAGTTCCCCACACTCCTAAAATTCAAATATAGACAACCTTGTACTTAAAAAGCAAAGTGGACTGGCTT